TTAAAAATTAGCTCTTGTTCGATATGTCTCTATAACGTACCACATAATATATAACTGGATCTGAATGCCTTAATAGCGTCTTTGTTCAAAAATCAATGTTTCAAAATTGTAAATTAACAACTAGGAGTACAGTAAACGTATTTACACTACTTTAACGATACAGAGTATAAATTTAACTGTTAAAAAGAGGATATGGAGTAGTTTTCATGGCCCTACGCCTACACAATGCAATTACACAAGGTTTCTATGGACGAAGCAGCATCAAATATCATATCATCCGACTCTTTTGCAGAGCTCAAAAGCTTAGAGATCTCCCGTACATCTCATTGCGATTTCAAGTCATTCGAACAAAAAAATCGGCCGTTTCCATCCGTTTCGCTCTTTTGAATCGAACAAAATTAAATCACGGACCGTTAGAAAGTCCCAAAGATTTAAAAAAAAACACAACTCCTCGACAAATGCGGACTTTCTTTGTGTGCCTCGGTAAGCGTGCCTTTGGAAAAAATAATAAATTCAGCGTTCATTCAAATACCAGCGCGTACCCGAGAGGCAAACGAGCCGAAGCAAAAAAAAAAAACAAGAGATAATAAACCTCATGTACCTCCGTTAACCAAAGACAACGGCGTATGGCGAATCGTTGGCTTGCAAAATTAGAACGAAAAAAGCGTGCCCGAGCTATTGGAAGACCACAAGTGTACGTGCTTACGAAAAGTTCAATCTAGATTCATTTTTTTTTTTTTTACCAAATCAAACCCTATCCACCGAAATAACTTCCAAGGCACTCGTTAACGTATAGGATTCGCCTGGTCGGGAGGTCGATGGTACACGTGCCGGCACTTGATCGAAAAATTCCATAGCTCACGCGTGTGCCCCCCCCCCCCCCCCGACTGTATATAGAGGCGAAGAAAAAAAAATCGCGAAAGTTGGGATTTCACGCTCGTGACGGTGTTTACGTAAGAAAACAGTTCCGTCGTCGCGTGAGCGTTTTTTGTTTTCACTCGCGTGTACCTTAATGTATATACATACGCGTTATGTGTTTATGTGCACATATACATATACGACGTAGGTACGATTTCACGGTCACGATCTCGTGTCTTTGGGAGAAGAGTCGGGGTTATAACTTTTACGTCCTACGGCTTCTCTCTGTCGGCGACGTTTCCCCCCGCATAGATACATGCGCCTAATATACTTATTATAGCCACCCCAAAGCTGAGAAAACACGCACCGTGTCGCACGTGTGTTTGGGTGTAGGTATAGGTGTGCACATGCGGTAATCGGGGATCGGATCGTACAAAGGAAAGTGACAAACTGCATCTCTATTTTTTTTATTTTTTTTTTTTCACGCACAAACACACGCGTATTACACGTGTAATGCACCTACTGTACGCGATTACGGCTGATTCTTGGTAAAGAAAGCAGTAAGTAGGTAGGTAGGTGGGTGGGCATTAACCATAAGTATACCGAGCGCGTATAGGCACAAGGTTGGCCGGTCGAACGAAAAAAAGCCCCAAGACGAGGAAAGTGGAAATAATAATTGTACACGTGTATACACACGCACGCGTGTATAACATATCGTATGCACGTATTGTATGTATGTATGTATGCAGGAGCGTGATTTGGCTGTTCTTGAAATTATTGTAATTGTGATGCATACAATGGAAAAGGTACGATTATCCGTACGTTTGCTCGCGTTTGTGGGTATGGAATTATCTTAATTGTAGTTCAAACAAATCTGTACGTATGGGTAGGTACGTATACAACTTCATTATTTGGTTTAAGAGATTTTTCTTTTTCTTTTTTTCATTGTCTATTCTGTTTGCACTCGGAGCACCAAATAACGCGTGTGAGTTTTTTCAGCAGATTGATACTTTGGCTATCTGATTGAAAACGAGGCTAGGCCGAAATTTTTAAACCCAATTATGAAACTTTGTTTCCAAGACGATTCGAGTAACCGATTTCGCAATATAGGTATTTCACTCGACTGATTTCAGCTGTGCAATATTATACACTGACAAAAAAAATAGTAGTAAAAATTACTGTTCGGTCGTCTAGAGACATTTTACCATTCGAACGATAATTTTTAATGTTTGGAAGAGTAATTTTCGCTGTAAGTACAGTTATTTTTACTGTTTGTACAATAAAAATTCCCGTCCACGAGGAATTAGGTTGGCCAAAGTAAAAAAAGTCCCTAGATGGCAGAATATGACACCAAATTACCATTCTAACAGTGACTTTTTTTTCTCACTTTCCTTGACGAAACAACCACCAGTATACAATTGATGTTGAAATTTCCGAAAAGTCCTAAATACCATACATTTGTAACCATAAAATAAGCAAATGTATGTTATATTCATGAATAAAATGAAAGTTCCCGAAAAATTTGAGTCAAGCTTCGTACAGCAATAAGCGCATTCGTGTACCCTCAAAAGTGCCGACCGAAAAAGCTCCGCGAAGCGCGACGATATTGCACGCCAACTAAAGAAAAATCCCATAAACTCGTGCACACCAATAATTTTACGTGGAGAAAAAAAAGACCCTCCAGCCACGTGTGACTACTTCCTTCCGAGCGATACTACAACGATTCCCCTCTCCTCGATTACGCGCGTAGGTGTGTTTCACCGAAAGTCACGATTGTAAATACACAAACATACAAGGACGTGTCAAACACACACACACACACACACACACACATACACACAGAAACAGTGGTTGGCTTGTTTAAGCTGCGACAAGATTACACGGTCGAGGATATGATTTTTCAAAGGGATCGGTATGTGTTTGCTTGTGCTGCGATCGTGGGCAGCGCGTACATATATATGCGAGACGATACTCTACCGCTATAAGTACTATACTAATGGATGTAACGGGAGGAACGTGAGCTCGAAATTGTCGGAGGTGTTTGGTGATTTATCGCGTGGGAAAGCCTGGCTCTTTATGCCGCCAAATCGTCAACACGAGGAGAGCAAAGCGTATACCGTTTCTTTCTTTCGGTTTTTGATTCTTTGTATACGGTAACACATAGTACGTTTGGATTAAGCTGCAGCACGACTGTGATTATGCGTACAAACGGTGTATGCGTTTCGTATTGAAATTACGTTTTGCAATCGAAAAAATTCTTTATTTTCCAGCTAGTCTTGTCCAAAGATTACGAGATATTGTACGGTCGACTGTTCGGGACAAATATACGCGCACAGCCCTGGGACCCAAAAGATCGGTAAGGCGATACAAAAAATCGGGTACACGGCGTTATCTGCGTTGTTATTTCTGCTTTTGTCACTTAACAAGTATGACGCTTGATATAAATCGGAAACATCTCGACATACTTTTAATGGTCGTTCGACGAGTCCTTGAGACACGATACAAATAAAAGTACCCATCATCGATCGGCAAAGCGATTCGACGAAAAAGAGAAGATCGAGACTTTCCTTCGTAAAAATCGTAAAGACCGCACGTACGATAAATAGTATTAGAGCACCGCGAGCTTCTGTTAGAAATCACAGCCTCGTAAAAGTAATGTACTCTTCTTCGTCGGTTCACGCAGAAGCCGCAGAGAAAAAACAATATAGTAAGCCAAAGCTCCGAAAAGTGACGTGAAAGTGATAGTCGGTGGTGAAATCATTATTGGTGATGGTTTTTTTATTTCTATTTTTAGCGCAAACGTAATACTTACCCCGGGACAGCGGAGGAAAGGTGTGTCTTATTTGCACTAGTCGGTGAGTCACGAGACGGTGTTTTTTTTTTTTTTTTTTGTCACCAGAGCCGAATTGAAAATGTGTTTTCATGGGCGTTGACGGCTCAAGGGGGATCGTTTTCTCCGGAAGTGTCGAATGGTATAGAAAGTGGCGAGCTTTTTCCTTACTGATGGTTTATTAAATGCGTGGGGTGTGTTGGATACAATTAGATTTTTCATAGCCGTGGGTTTGGTAGTTACATCAACGTAGCCAACTAACTTATAAATTTTATTTTTACCGATGATCGGAATCTCATCTTTCAACGACACGAATGTCTCTTCTTAGTCTCTCCTGCGGTGCCATTTACAAGTTATATGGTAGCGTATACGTTCGATTGATGTCACATAACAAACAAAGATAGTATTACACCTCGTAAATTCAATCACAACCTTTTTTTTCTTTTAATCCTGATAAGTTAACAGATAATTTTATCGATTTAACCAAATAATAAATCTCTGCATGAGTGATAGATTTAACAAAGAGTAATTAGCTTTTTACAACAAATCATTATCGATTGGTGTAACTTCTGAAACTGTTTACTTGTGCCATTATTGTGAAAATGAGCAGCGGGAATACAATAGGCGCCATCATACATGTTAGTACTACCTTCCAATCGACACGCGTTACAATGATAGAAATATTTATTATCTTTGAGTGTCATCAAAATTCCCATACAATAGGTACAGCAAAAAAAGACACGCGTAAATGAATTGGTATCAGTATCAGGTGGACAAACGAGTAAGAAAGAGGGACAAATACTTTACTTTTATGGACAGAAAATATCCTGGATAAAAAGAGCATACCTGTAAAAGTGTAAAAAATACGCAGTTATTTTATTTTATTTTTTTTTTTTTCATTGTCCAAATGCATAAATATTTTCGAAATTTCTCTCAACAAGAGGGTCTGCCTGAAAGTGCCAAGTGAGCATCTTAGGATTATTAGGCACAATATTTTCCAATTACACTCCACACCTAATTGAACATGGCGTCCGGTATAATGTAAATTGCCGAAAAACAAGTCCATCGCTCAATGCGGGCCCCTGACATCACCACTTTAACACCCTCTGTAACAATAATACAATGTACCTACATGGCCCCTCTACACGCCGATGGAGAATAAAACTGAAAATTATTAGCTTTCATGTGCAGGCACAATTGCTACATGTTATGATATACTTGATATTGAAAGACACTCAGTCACAAAGTACGTGTACGTAAAGAGTGCGAGACTGATATTCTTGGGGTTTTTTTTCTGTTTGTTCTCTTTTAGGTGATTACGAACGGCGCGACCAGAGGCTGCAGCGACAACGACGAGTGCGACGGTCCGACGAACGGTGAGTCACCAGCGGCACTTTAAAACTCTTTCCTTCACGAAATGTACAAACATTTATCGACACTCATCGTATTCTTTTTTTTTTTTTTTTTTTTCAAGGCCACAATCAAATTTTATTTTAAAATAAATAGAGCACGCCAATCAAATTCCTTTTACTTGATCACTATTTTTGCTCTTTTATCTAGAATCATATTTCCTCTAATCGTTTATCGACACTCAATTGACATATAATATAAGTAAAGAGGCTTCATCGCGTTACCGAATAGTCCACTTAAAAGATTGATGGGTCACGCGGATGAAGCCTATATGTATGTTTGTACGAGATTTGATTGGTCCGGGAAGATCACGTGGATTTTTCATTGTAGGGAGAATTAAAAAGCACACAAGTTTGCGTAACGATGAAAAAATAATTTGAATTTCAAGGTGTTGATAACATTTTCATCAAACGGTGGGGGAAGTTGGCTCTGAAAAAGTGGATTATCTCGATGGAAGAGTCCCCATTTTCTACGAGTTATGTAACGCAACCGAGCAATGAAAAAAAAAAAAACTCAACTATCATGAATGCCAAGGCAAAACACGGATTACTGCTGATGGTGCATAAGAATCGAGTGAAGTGTGCGCCGAACGCAACTGAAAAGACAACAACGTAACAGCAGTGCAGGCGGTGTATAGTACATGTGTTTCGTGATCGTAATCGTGATGTGCCTTGTTCGCTCATCTCTGTATGTATAAAAAACCGGTTTTGCGAGGCATCAGATGCAGGGAAGCACGGCTTGACCGTCGTCGATTGATCTGTTTCGAGGGGAGGTCCAAAACGGCTACAATGGCCCCCCCAACGTCAAAGGGGAGATTTTTCTCACGAACTCCGCGTTACGCGCACATTTCTTTTTTTTTTTTTTTTCCTCCGGTCCATCCGAGCGATAAGGTGCTCCGTCCCCACTGAAATCCGAACGCTTGCCGAAGGGGGGGGGGGAGTATAATACGGTAACTGAAGTGAAAATCGGAGACCAGCCCGAACATGTATATGTGCGTGTGTGTAGGGTACTCGATTCATGCAGATTTTTCAAGCCGATACGCTATTGTTGGATACATTGCGTGCGGGGCTCCTTTTAAATGGGTTGGGGAGGGTGGATCGCGTGTAATCCCCACGAGCGGGGGTTGTTTTTTCCGTTCGCGTGCGCTTTTCCGTTTGCCGAGAGAGAGAGAGAGAGATTATTGTTGTAGACCTACTTTTGCGACTGACCGAATTTCCAAGGGGTTTTTTTTTACGAACTAGACAAAGCTCTGGCAATATATGCCTACTGTCCCTTTTTTTCGCGAGATCGCGCTTTCTTTCATCGATAACCAACGAAACTCACAAGCATCTCCTAGAGATGCGTCCGCGCGTAGGTGAATTTCAGGGCGTGCTCGGTAAACCGAGAACTCCCACCTCGTGAAAACATGGAAAACGTAATGGGAACGCGTATGTGTGTATATGTACATGCACTCGAGACAATATTTTGCAAATAAAGCCATTAAATTGGCGTTCCGGACTCTTAAAGTTTATGCACTTGTAAAATGATGGGCGCTTTCTTCGCAACGATTTATTCGTATGTTTCCCGTTTTCTCCGTCGCGCGTTTCGTCCCTCGGCCCGGTGTATAAGCGAGACGCGCAAGAGCGCGGCGCGTTAAAAATAATAAGCAACGATCGCGCATCGGCGGTTCCCCGGGCACCGTCGTTAACTTGTCAATCGTGGCGCGTGGCGAGCATGCGGCGGTCCGTGGAGGGAAAGCGTGCGCGAAAAAATAATCGCGTGTGTGCGTGCTTCCCGCGAACAATCAATATTTTCGGGGTATAGGAGACCATCGATATGTTTGTGTAGATGTGGTGCCCGTGTTTGCCGATACCGTAAATTAATGATGCGATTAACAACGCGTTCGTGGATCGTTGGGAGTTTCTTTTCGAGAAGTGTATACGAGGGATCGCGCGAGTGCGATACGATGACCTTTTGTTATGATACACGAGGCTTTTATCGATTGCACCTGTAAATTGAACTTGGCTGTTTCCATGCACTCTTTTACCTCAAAGACATCGAAGCAAAAGCTCGACGACCATAAGTTATGGACTTTGCACTTACGGTAGCGTTTGCGTTGTAAGGATACATGTGTGTAGGTTTTTTTTTTATTAATTTTTTTTAATTACATGTGCTCTTGTAATAACAAAAAAAGGGTTTGTTATTGATAAAAATTATGTTTTCATTCAAGACTCTGATGAAATATTTGAAATACAGTGTACCGATAGCTTTTAAGTTATATGGTTCCCAAAATTTGAATCACTTCAAATATTCTCAATCATTCGAACGAAAAACCCAATAACCCTAAACATCGGGAAAAAATTGTTTGATATACAAATCCAAAAGAATGATGCACTTTTTCATCCCAATCCCTTAAAAAATATATGATAAGTCTCCATTGCCCACAAAGTTGTTTCATGAAACATAAAAATATTAGAATTGTTAAAAAATCGACTGGCAAACAAAGAAACACAACGAAAAATTTACTTTGAATCGAAATAAAGGCACATCTTCCTCTCCCTTGCAACTTGATACAACTCTTGAACATAATTATCAGTTGTATAAAAATCACATCATCCGAGCCAAAACATCGACCAACACGCAGTCCCATAAGCTCGGAATACTCGAGCCTCAGTGGCCGTGAACCCCATACCGATCTCTATCTCCTTACCTGTCCGAAAGTATCTCTCGTCTTCCGTAAATGCACAATTGCCAAGTCACATATATGTTAACACACGATGATGGAAAAAAAAAAAAAAAAAAAAAAAGAGACGTGCATTCAACAATATCGTGCAACACATAACTCTCTTTCTCCGACGAGCAAAAATTTCACTTTTAACTCGTGAAAAGCCGCGCGCTTACACGATAGATGCGCGTCTGAACTAAACAGGTGTCTACACATATACACGCACTTATACGTACATACCCATCCTCTCGAGATCGCGTTCGGCGTGCATGAATAAAGCGATGGAAAGTCTCGCATAACATGTAAATATACAATACAAATTGTTGTTGTTTTTTATTTTTTCTTTTTTTTTTTTTTTACAACCGCGTCGCTCTGTTCCTTATTACCAATTAAGCCTAACGAACTTGAAGCTGCGGCGGTACAACTTTTCAATGTTGGCGTACATACACGTATGGAGGAGCGCAGCGGAAGAGCGGCCTTCGGCCGATTAGGTGTGCACTACTGCTCATCAGCGATGATCGAGGTGGATGTACCTATATATACGGGATGGTTGGCGGAGGGGCGTCGGCTGTGATTGAAATCAGCCGGTCGTTGATCTCCGTCCCTATCTCTCTGCTTCTGTTGGATTTTACGCGGGAAATTGCTGGGAAATTTTGCAGAGGTGCTGTATACATCGGTATACGTCGATTTTTTCCCCTTTTTTTTTCCTTTTTGGTGGATCGGATTGGAGATTATCGATGGGTGGTGATTGTTTTTCCGAGTTTTAATACTTTGCGCGTGGGTACAGAGGATTAGCGCGGTTTTTTTTTGTTTCGTTTTATACTTCTTTCTTTTTTCGCGATCAACCGATGGATGTTTGAAACACAGCGTTTCAAAGGGGAGGGAGTTTCTTTGTAAATATTTGGAGGTGTAGCTGCCGTGACACGTTGGTTTTCGTTGAATAATGGAAAATTCATGAATACATAAGTTTTGTAGGTATACCCAGGAAAGGTTTCGCTGTGTTCCAAATGTTTGCGGTTAATGATGAAAATTTGCATATTTTTTGTACGGGAACCACTACATTTGAGCAAAGATTTACCAGAGACGATTTCTGCTCGAGACGAGAAAGAGAATATTTAACAAAATTTTGTTTCTATGGAAAAAAGTAAATCTTATCAGTCTCTTCTGTGTGAATTTATCTCGAAACAAAGACCACATGTGATTCATATTCAATGAATAACTGTTTATTTTATTTTCGGGTGGTAAAACTTACTTGTTACATCGAAAATTGCGTAATCGTTCGTATTGAACCAAAAATAGCAAAGTAAATGACCAAACAGTACTGCCACTGGTAGCCAAAGACAAAAATCGTGGCAAAAAAAAAAAATATAAAATGAATCACGGTATGGACTACAATAATATTGATTCTCGTAGAAATCGGCGTAAAATCGTATATCGTATGAAATGTACAGACCGTACTTTTTGTTCTATACACATTGCCCATACATTTCTCCAACCCCCCGTTTGTAACCCGTTCAATCGACCGCAAGAATTTCAGTCGTTACGGTAATTTGATACGATAATAAACAGTTTCGGCGTATGTCATGAATAATCGGTAAAAAATCTGTACAGTTTCCCTATGTGTAAGTACTGATTGACTCGTAAACGTTCGTCGCCCCGGAACATCGAAACCTTTTGGCCGAAAACAAAAAAAAAGACGAGCAAAAATAAACGCTCGGCACGAAAAATGCCTCACCAACCCTGTATATCAGCACTCGCGGAGGACGCAACGCGTGTAACAGCTGCCTAAAGTAACGCTCTGACGTTATCGCGTATCTTAACAGTAGCAGCAGCTAAGGCAAACATCGAAAAGTGCAACGAAAAATACAAGACCACGTTACGTGCACGGTACAAGCAGGTGGCTCAGCATCTCTCGCGCGGCGAATGTATCCGGTCGTTAACCCTCGTACAGGGCGAGGGATACGCGCGAGCACTAATATATATGCGGTTCACCGCCCCGCAGCAGAAATGCTCCTTTTTTACCTTGCATCTATATGCGCTGTGTTTCGAGTTGCTTTTACGGGGGGGGGGGGGGTATACGATCGGCTCTGCAAAAAACTACGGCCAAGAGTTATTATATCTTTGAATTGAAATGAAAAACAAAAAACAAAACAAGAAAAATTTCAATCGAAATGCATAGAGCTTGAGGAAAAATTATCATAAAGATATGTTCTGCCCAAAGTGAGACAAAGAGTCTTTATCCTCCGATTTTCCAGATTATCG